CCCCTACCTAACCAACTCTCTGGATGTCGTACAATTGATCGGGTCAGCCTCGACCTTACACACTCTCTGGATATCGTACAAGCTATCGGTTCAGCCTCTACCCTAATAAGCTCTCTGAATATCGTACAGGCTATCGAATCAGTCCCTACCCTAACAAACTCTCTGGATATCGTACAAGCTATCGGGTCAACCCCAACCTAACAAAGTCTCTTGATGTCGTACAAGCTATCGGGTCAGCCCTACCTAACAAACTCTCTGGATGTCGAACAATTGAACGGGTCAGCCCCTACCTAACAAACTCTCTGGATGTCGTATAAGCTATCGGGTCAGCCCCTACCTAACAAACTCTCTGACCCTAATAAGCTCTCTGGATGTCGTACAAGCTATCGGGTCAGCCCTACCTAACAAACTCTCTGGATGTCGAACAATTGAACGGGTCAGCCCCTACCTAACAAACTCTCTGACCCTAATAAGCTCTCTGGATGTCGTACAAGCTATCGGGTCAGCCCCTACCTAACAAACGTACAAGTGATCGGGTCAGCCCCTACCTAACAAACTCTCTGGATGTCGGACAAGCTATCGGGTCAGCCCCTACCTAACAAACTCTCTGGATGTAGTACAAGTAATCGGGTCAGCCCTACCTAACAAACTCTCTGCAGCCTCAACCTTACACACTCTCTGGATATCGTACAAGCTATCGGTTCAGCCCCTACCCTAACAAACTCTCTGGATGTCGTACAGGCTACCGGATCAGTCCCTACCCTAACAAACTCTCTGGATATCGTACAAGCTATCGGTTCAGCCCCTTCCCTAACAAACTCTCTGGATATCGTACAAGATATCGGTTCAGCCCCTCCCCTAACAAACTCTCTGGATATCGTACAAGCTATCGGTTCAGCCCCTACCTAACAAACTCTCTGGATGTCGTACAAGTGATCTGGTCAGCCCCTACCCTAACAAACTCTCTGGATGTCGTACAGGCTATCGGATCAGTCCCTTCCCTAACAAACTCTCTGGATGTCGTACAAGTGATCTGGTCAGCCCCTACCCTAACAAACTCTCTGGATATCGTACAAGCTATCGGGTCAGCCCCTACCTAACAAACTCTCTGGATGTCGTTCAAGATATCGGGTCAGCCCCTACCTAGCAAACTCTCTGGATGTCGTACAAGTGATCGGCTCAGCCCTTACCTAACAAACTCTCTGGATGTCGTACAAGTGATCGGGTCAGCCCCTACCTCCCGTGGTGAGAGGGAGGTGGGATTTCTCTATCATCATGTCCGTGGCGAGAGGGAGGTGGGATATCTCTATTATCATGTCCGTGGCGAGAGGGAGGTGGGATATCCCTATTATCATGTCCATGGCGAGAGGGAGGTGGGATATCTCTATTATCATGTCCGTGGCGAGAGGGAGGTGGGATATCTCTATCATCATGTACCTGGCGAGAGGGAGGTGGTATATCTCTGTTATCATGTCCGTGGCGAGAGGGAGGTGGGATATCCCTATTATCATGTCCGTGGCGAGAGGGAGGTGGGATATCTCTATTATCATGTCCGTGGCGAGAGGGAGGTGGGATATCTCTGTCATCATGTCCGTGGCGAGAGGGAGGTGGGATATCTCTATCATCATGTCCGTGGCGAGAGGGAGGTGGGATATCTCTATCATCATGTCCGTGGCGAGAGGGAGGTGGGATATCTCTATCATCATGTCCGTGGCGAGAGGGAGGTGGGATATCTCTATCATCATGTCCGTGGCGAGAGGGAGGTGGGATATCTCTATCATCATGTCCGTGGCGAGAGGGAGGTGGGATATCTCTATCATCATGTCCGTGGCGAGAGGGAGGTGGGATATCTCTATCATCATGTCCGTGGCGAGAGGGAGGTGGGATATCTCTATCATCATGTCCGTGGCGAGAGGGAGGTGGGATATCTCTATCATCATGTCCGTGGCGAGAGGGAGGTGGGATATCTCTATCA